CTAGAATATAGCTCCAGTAAAAAGGACAGAATAATTGACACAAGCTAATTCATTGGTTCCTCGTTTTCATGTCCTGTACCAGATAACATACTCTTTCCACTTATGGGCATAGAGGTGTCTAATAGAAAGAGCCTGTTCCTATGTGTTTGCTTCTAGCACTCGCTGGGGTAGCACATCTGATGCCGGCAGTCTCCGCTGAGCAGCCAGACATGCAGATTCCACAACTACAGATTGTGCCCTCTGCTTGAGAGAGAAGATCCCTCCTCAGTGGGATGGTCCAGGGATGTGCTGTCAACAGCTCCACTAACTCCAGGAACCATGGCTTATTGAGCCAATCCTGGAGGGGGTTGGGTCAGGGAGAAGAATAGTGGGGATTGAGTGCTTCCTGCTGATGCAAATAAATCCACTTCTGCTTCCTCGACATGTTTTATATCATTTTGACAGTATGAGGGTGCAGCCACCTCTCTCCAAGGACTACAGTCCCCCTTAATAACAGGTCTGTGCCGCAGTTCACATGGCCAGGAACAAGCACAAGTGGACTGGAGAGGAGATGTCGATAGGTAGTGATGGCAGTTTCAAAACACTGCTTCATGAAGCTTCGAAGCCTTTACGAATCTTTTGTTCCGAATCAGTGGTTCGAAGCGTGTATCAAGCTGCCAGAGTCACGTGGTTTCAGTAAACGAGGCTTCATTACGTCATAACTGTTTCGAAACACTTTAAAATGAATTAAAATGAATAATGGTAGTTAATGTCTTATTGGCCTGTTTAGCTGAGCCATTCATAGAACAAACAAAACAAACCCTGATAATTGATAAAATAACATGTATACACTTGATAATCTTATTAGATGATTAGATAATTTCATTTGAAAGATTTTACTTTCAATAAAAAAATTGCAAAAGATTTGTAAAAGGTGTTTTTATGCATGTTTGGCAGGGGTTTTTGTTACATTTACACTGTTCTGACCACTAAGGGTCACCGTGGAGACGGATGTCAGAATGTTTCGAAGACTCGACACAATACGGCTTCAACCGTACATTTGCTTCAACTGTTTCAGTGTTCCACGAAGCCTCGATCTGCCCACCCCTATCAAGGCATTGACCTCATACTTTCACTCGCTCCTACGAGTCTACGTCCCTAGCAGAAGCCTACGATCAGTCAATGAGCAACGGCTCGTGGTACCATGACAGAGAGCCAAAAAATCACTCTCTAGAACATTCTCATTCACGGTTCCATGCTGGTGGAATGATCTCCCCACCGTCATCCGGAATGCAGAATCCCTGACAACATTCAAAAGACAACTGAAAACTCATCTCTTCCGTGAGCACTTAACCTCATAAAAAAAAAACCTCTTTACCTTTTCCCTTAATTCTCCCTTGGCTGCCTTATGCTACTCAGAGAAATGCTTGCACTTTGTATTTTGAGCACTTCTTGCGTTGTTTTTGCCTCTTCACGATGACTCGCTTTAATTTAGTCCTAATTTGTAAGTCGCTTTGGATAAAAGCGTCTGCTAAATGACTAAATGTAAAATGTACATGCGAGGCATTTGATGTCACTGCTATGCATGACAATGAAGATGATGGAGTTTTAGTATGACACATGTATCAGCAGTGTGCCAGGTTGAAGAATTCGGAGGTGCTGGCTGGTTTAAACTCCCATTTGTCTCATTTATCTGAGTCTCATAGAAAAGATGTTGAAAAAGTAATTTATTACTCGCACTACGGCACCTATTGAAATCGTTGGCTTTCTTATTATTCTTCTTCTTCCGTTTCTTCCGCTCTGGAAGTCTAAGGCAGCCCATAGACCCGCTTGCGGGAAACTTATGAAATTTGGCACACTGATAGAGGACAGTCTGATCTGTCACCATAGCAAATTTGGAGTCTCCAAATCAATCCCTCTAGCTCCACCAACTGTCCAAATTTGCACTCATGTTTATGCCAATAACTTTTGAACCGTAAGGGCTACAAACAAAATTCTTTTCCTTCTGATTCCTTTCTTCAAGAAGAATCGATTGCACCCTTTTTCCGTCATGAGAATTTTTCCGCCATTTTGAATTTTCTGAAAAACCTACTATTTCGAGCTCGTCCTAGAAGGTTGCTCCGATTTTCACAAAAAATAATCCAGATCATCTTCAGACCATGCCGACAAAAAGTTATGCAAATCGAGTTGATTTATTACTATTATTATTATTCTTTTTTTTTTATATATTATTTTCTCTTTGAGATTATTGCTGAAGGAAGCAGCCTTTATTTGTTTGTTTAAATTCTTTTATAGATTGGGGTGGGGTTTAATAAGTTTAACTTCTTACCACTCCATTTTCAAGCATACGTGTATAATTTGTTATTATTGTGTATCTTTTCTGTTGTCACACTATTTTGCTTGAAAAAAATTGTTGTAAATTAACACTTAAAAAACATTTGCCAATATCTTCGAAACCGTTAGACCGATCGAGACGAAACCACCGTAGGAAATTTAGAAACATAGGTTGTTGGCTAAATGTTAATACCCAAATGTTACAATTTTGATAGTAAGTGGCAAAAAAATCCAATCAAAGTCACCCATGGGTAATTTTTTTTTTGCTCTCATACATATGTCTATAGCTCCAAAACAAAATGAGATATTTTCACAAAATTTGACACACACGTATGGGCTCACTCTGAGAACACATAAAAAAGTGCTATAATAGAACAAAAAAAGGACATTGCCAATAATTACAATATAATATCATGATATTAAATGCAACACTTTACGAATAAATTGGTGCACCGTGACAAAACTCTCTATGTGTCTTGATAATCCATTAAATCTTATTTTTAGTTACTGTATAAGATTTTTCAGCCATTTTGCCTAAATCATCTTTAAATGTCTTTAATTTCTCATTGTTGCAGTTGGTCTGACACTCCCAGCCATGTTGGCATGTCTTATTGTCTTCTTTGCTTGCAGCTATATCTTTCCCTTGTTTTCCTCTGAGTCCTTGGCTCAAGACGATTAAATTGCACCCTATGACGTAATTTTCCTTGATGACATTTTTCCGTAATTTTGAATTGAAAAAAAAACTTTTACTTTTTCTAACTCCTCTTAGGCTGTTGATCCAATTTTCACGAAAATTCAGATCATCTTCAGACCTTGCAGACAAAAAAAATAAGAATTCAAGTTGACCCGTCAAACCGTTCTCAAATAACAAGCAAAAGAATTGATGAAGGGCACGTCAAAATGGATTTTAGGTTATATCTCTGCAATGCTTTAGCGTATTCTGACCAAACTTGCTGTGTATTGACAACCATGACCTGAGGGTATCTGCACAGTTTCAGCGTAGTGAGGAGATATGGATAATTAAACTGGTCTCTTTAGATTCGGTGCAGCATGCCGGGTCGAAAAAATAACCAATTTTTCCTTGTTGGTCATTTTGGACATCGGCCATTTTGAGTTTTGTTAAAAAAATGCTGTATTTTAAACGAACACATTGGCATATCATTTCTAAACTTTGTACGTGTCATCTGCACCACGCCCTGAAGGAACTTCAAAAAGTTAAGAGACACTTTGTGGTCAAAAGTTATAATGAAATTTCCAAGAATGCTAATAACTTTTGTTCAAATTAGCCTATTTTAAAGAAACTGGTCTAAATAGATTCCCTGGGTCATGCCAAGAACATAGATTTCAATTTTGCCATAGTTGGCCGAACTTCCTGTCCTGTGATTTTCTTTAAAAGCCTAATTTTTCTAGCTCCTCCTAGACCGTTGGTCCGATTTTCACCAAAATCGAATCGTATCATCTTCAGGTCATGCCGGCAAAAAAAATGGGGATTTTGTGTAGGTTGACAAAACTATTTTCGTATACTGCATCAACAAAATTGATGGCATGATGCCAAAACAACCTGATCTCACAGAATTCCGTGAAATGGACACGGACCCTTAACTCAAAATCCGTGGCAGTTTCACGGAATCGCCGAAAATTCCGTGATGTGCCCACGGAAGTGATGCCTATGTAAGTCAATGACAGGCAGCATCCGTGGTCCACACACGGGCTGTTACAACACACGTGCTCCCCCAAATGACGTCGTTTTATAATTTGGAAAGGTATCGCTTTAAATATTCTGAGTTTACTTAAAGTACTTTACTTTAAATATTTAGTTTTAAAGTGATTTTAACTTGATATGGCATTGTTCTGTCGTTGTATTTTGTTCATTGTTAACACATGCTTATATTAAAGTGTATTTGTTAATTTTATAATAAAACCCCTTTTTAAATGGTTGAATTTGTGTTTCACTGTCTGCCAGTTTCTGGGCCACATCTGGGCCGGGGACCCAGCCGACTCTCAGCCAGAACTGTCTTACAGTGCCTGGGCCAGACCTGGGCCATATCAATAAATAAGAGTCATTTTACAGGGTGTGGGCCACATCTGGGCCAGAGGAAGTTGTTTGAGTCCGTTGTCAGTGTGTTGGACCAGTTTTGGGCCGGGGACCCAGCCGGGAACTGGGCCAGAATTGAAGCAAGGATGAGGCCCAGAGGTGGGCCGCATCCTTGCTCATCAGATATGCAAAAGAAATTAAATGTATGTAGGAACTGGGTTAAGCAAATTTAAAAATGTAAAGTATATGCGAACACCCATAGTGTTGCTGAAAAATAACTTGTAAAACCACAGTATTCACCCCAACAGAAGTCTGTTGTAAAATCTCTAATGTATACATATCCTAGAGTTTTTTTTGTTTGTTTTTTGGCTCACCACCTCTAAACCTCAGTGATTGTTCAGAAGGGTACAGTCTGTTCACAAAGGGCTTGTAAAATTTGTTTTTTTATGATGAGCATTGTGGTGTAATGCTCCATTTAATAAATGACTGACATATGCTTGTTGAGTTTAGATATGGAAATGGCCATTTGTTTCATTGAATATAGTGGTTTAAGAAAATTAAAATGAGTTTTAAGAAAATTAAGAGTAGAATATAAGCCCGATTCTCAAACGAATTGCACATCTGCTTTATGACCAACAGGCCAACTTAAACAATGTCTCTCAGTAGCATTTACATTTTCCTTGTTGGCTTTACTAATTGTTTCTTTTTCGAAGTTTCTTGCTCAAAATCTGATTTCAGCTTGGACGGAGATTACTTATTGGGTGGCCTTTTCACTTTACATGAAATTGAACAAGCAACACCCCTGTTGTCCCCAGAGACCACTGAATGTTTCAGGTAAGCAAGGACATTTTTATCAGCTGGGTTGCCTGTATTGTAAATCAAATTAGCATTTCTTCATAATCACATTTATAAACTGAAACTTTAATGATATGCTATTAACTTCTTCATTGATGTTTTCAAGGCACAGACCCTCAAAATCTGGCTATCAGATGTTGCAAGTAATGAGGTTTGCCGTGGAGGAGATTAATAACTCCACCACTCTTCTGCCCAATGTTTCTTTGGGCTATGACATATTTGACTATTGTTCTAATACAAAGAATTTTCATTCAGTCTTAAGTTTTATCTCAAATAATGGATCAATAAAGCCTAAAGAAAAACTGAACAACCATCAGCCTAAAGTGATTGCTTTAACAGGGCCATTTGAAAGCACACGAGCTATTACTATTGCAGAACTATTCACAATGGACCTTATACCTATGGTGAGTTAAGCTTCTTTTTATAGATTGCATAATGAAATACTTACACACTTACTTACTGCCCTTTGTTCAGGACTACAAAGTTACTATACAAATGCTTGTGAATTGTTTATAATATTTTGTTGTCTTCTGTTTCAAAGGTGAATTATGGAGCTTCTAGCAATGCATTAAACAACAAACTTAAGTATCCTGCTTTTGTAAGAACAATGCCTAGCAACAAAAACCTGATAGAAATGATTATTCAAATCATTCAAAGGTTTGGATGGAACTGGGTTGCCTTTCTTGGTAGCCAAGGTGATTACGGTTCAGACGGACTAAAGCTGTTTAACACGTATATAAGCAATACTGGCATTTGTTTGGGCTATCAAGAGATTCTACGCCTAAACGCAAACTACATTCTAACACTTCAAAAGATTGAAATGCTCGAAATCAATGTCATTGTTGTTTTTGCTCTGCCACAATATGCGAGCAAAATTATCAAAGCAGCCATAGCAAACAACATCCAAGACAAAGTATGGATTGCAAGTCAAGCATGGGCTATGAATCAACAGCTTCCCAGAGAGCCAGGAATTGGGAAAATTGGCACAATCATTGGTATTACGGAGAGATTGTTGACATTGCCTGGATTTAACGAATTTGTCTATAAAGACAGGAGATCAACTGTTGTCACCCATAATGAAGAGAGTGACATCCAGAGTAAGACTAAGACATGTAATCAAGTTTGTGATTACTGCACATCGTGGACCGCAGAGGAGATTATAAATGAAAATCCCACATCCTCTTTTGCCATCTATGCTGCCATATACACCATAGCTCATGCATTACATAAGGTTCTGCAGTGCGACACGAATGGATGCCGCAAAAACACAGTGGTAAAGCCATACATGGTAAGAGAATTCATTTTATTTATGACAAGTTGATCTATTAATTACATTGTTTTATTTTATTAAATATTGTTCATATTTTTATGAAATTGCATATTATATTGTTTCATTATTACTAACTAAATAAAAAGTTATAGTAATATTATAAATTGTCTTTTTTTGTAAAATAATGGGGGTACAATCACCACAACTCACAACAGCTAGTGGGAGAAATTAAGAAGTTGAATTTTCCACTCAATGGTCGTCAGGTGAAATATGATGATAATTATGATATACCCATCAATTATGCAGTTGTGCTCTGGCACACTGATGTAAATCATCCACAGTTTGAGATGGTGGGCACATATGATACATATCCAGAAATGACTTTAACAATCAACAACTCTCTCCTGCCCTGGCATAACAACGGTTCTGTAAGTCTTAATTTGATGAGCCTTTATCCAAACATTTAGCTTTATAGATTCCAGTTTTTCTCAATCAAATTTAAAATATTGACATCAAGACAATTAGATTGTTCTCTGTTAATTCATTTTTCATAAAGCTGACAAGATCTGGTAACAATTAATTTTAATGTGTCCTTGTTACACGTTACATGTTATTACTATATTAATAACTATAAATTTAACATAATTACATGCAACTAACCATAAACCAAACCCTAATCCTACCCTAACCCTATAGCACTGGGCACAGGCGCTCTCAACCCTGGTCCTCAAACAGCCACTGCCCTGCAGAGTTCAGCTCCAAACCTAATCAAACACACCTGAACCAGCTAATTAAGCAGGATTACTAGAAAGCTAAAGGCAGGTGAGTTTGATCAAGGTTGGAGCTAAACTCTGCAGGAAAGTGTCCCTCGAGGACCAGGGTTGAGAACCCCTGCTATAGCAAGTAGGCCTAAATGTAATTAATTAATATTAATCGGTACTTAAATGTATAATTACACTGTAACAGGCAAACATAATAAACTGTAACCAAATATCTATTTTTTCTATATTTGGAAGCAAGAATTTTTGGGGGTGTTTAAGGGAATTATGTATTTTGTAATTTGCAGTCCATTATTGAAATTGCATAGTGTTCAGATGAGTTAATTGTAAATACTGACACAGTTTAGAAAAATGTGTAAAATCAGTTGAGAAAAACTTTAACATTAATAACACATTTTCTTATTCTTTAAAGGTTCCTTTCTCAAACTGCTCTGCTGAGTGCAAGGAGGGATTTTCAAGGCAACCTGAAGGTTTTCATAGTTGCTGTTTTACATGTAAAAAATGCCTGCCTAACAGCTATGTGGATTATTCTCGTAAGTACAAATTAAGTTTCCAAAAATTAAATGTTTATAAATATTAGATTCAGTTCGAATTTACAGTTTTTTATTTTTTTGTGTTACAAAAAAGTGCTACATTGGTAAAACTCTTAGAAGTAATCTCACAAAACCATTATCAAAACCACAATGTTTAAAAAGGATGTGTGAGTATGTGTGTGTGGTCTTGGTAAACTCTACATTACAGGACAGATAGCAATATCCAAAATCCTTCTCCTTGTGAGGCCATTTTTGGTCCCCATGAGGAAAACAGCTTATAAATCATACTAAGTGATGTTTTTTGAAAATGTTAAAATGCAGAAAGTTTTCTGTGATGGATAGATTTAGGGGGTAGAATATACAGTTTGTACAGTGTAAAAATCATTATGTCCATGGAATGCAAAAAACATCATGGAAGTGTCCCACACTGGATACATACTATCACAAAAATTTTACTTTAAAGTGCTGCTATTATGCTATTTTAAAGGTCCCACATTTTTTTGAGGTCTCCTACAACAGGTTTACATGCATCAAAGGTGAAAAATCACTTTCATTTTCTCATAATATACATTGCACATCACCACATTTTCCAATGATTCTCAAAAGACTCATCCAAAGACTCAGTCTCTCTAAACCCCTCCTTTTTGTGAGCCTACTCTGCTCTGATTGGCCAGATGTCCCAGTCTGTTGTGATTGGTCTACGGTTTACAGCACATGTCGGAAACGAAATGCCCAGCCATTACCATAACTGAATTTCAGCACCGGAGGCTTGTACTCTAAAGACAGTAATGATGGCGTCGATTTTACCATATCAATCTGTGCGCGAGTCCGATGATGAAACATTGAAAGCTAGTTATTCAACCCGAACCTCCATCGCAAGGACGACTCGAGCAGAACGTTTCTCAGTGATACGCTACTCAGTTTTACGTTCATCATGAGATCTTGCAACTGTAATTCCTCACCATCAGCAGCATTAACAAGTGTATGTCCATCAACAAACCGATGTGTATATTGCTAATTTATAGCAGTGCACATGCGGGAACTGTATCATTAACTGTATCAGTACCAGCGTGTACATTACGTGAATTACTGATGTAACATTAAAGCTTGTTAATATTAACAATACATTACAAAACATTAATATATGTTTAATATATTAAACATATATTAGATACAGTCTAATATTGCCTATCACATTAATCTGACATCGCTAGCTTTTATCTAAATCGTTATCGCTAGCACCATACGCTAGTATCTCGCTAGCCTGTTAACCTGCCATGCGTGCTTGCCGTCTTTTTTTCTCTCGCGCGCTCGCGCTTTTTACAAGTCTATCAAACAAATGTGGTAAGTAGGATCAGTCAACAAACACGGTGAGTAATGTTTTCTCCTGTTATTGTCACTTGCAGTTCGTGTCACATGTATAGCATAGCCTTATCTGTCAGCACAGAGGGCTTTACATGTGATAAATGCAGGGAGATAGTCAGGCTGACGGAGAAGATTTCAGAACTAGAGACATGCATCCAAACTTTAATTGAGGATAATAAGAATGCAAGGGCTTTAGATACTACTTTGGATGCGACTAGCTTAGTGAACTCTGTACATTGTTCGGTTCCGGCTGAAGAGCCTGTGCAGCTGGGCAACTGGGTGACCGTGAGACGCTGTAGTCGCGGGACAAAACACCGCTCTTCCGTTCCGATTATCATAACAAATAGATTCTCCCCACTCAGTGAAATACCCACTGAGAATCCTGTTGAAAGTGCCCTAGTTATTGGCGATTTTATTACACGGAACGTGAAAATAGAGACACCAGCGACCATAGTCACATGTTTGCCGGGAGCCACATCAAAGCAAATTTAAAAGTGCTGGCTAATGCTAATTGTAAATTCTCTAAGATTATTATTCACGTCGGCACTAATGATGTTCGACTAAAATCACTAAAATTAACGTTAAAGAGGTGTGTGAACTCGCAAGTACGATGTCAGGCACTGTAATTTGCTCTGGCCCCCTTCCTGTTCGCTGGAGTGATGAGATACTTAGTAGACTGTCCTCACTCAATGACTGGCTGTCTAAGTGGTGTGCGCAAAATAATATAGAATTCACAGACAATTGGAAAAGTTTTGCGGGACAAAAAGATGAATCTCTGTTGAAAAGAGATGGTATTCATTCCTCCTGGGATGGTGCTGCTCTTCTCTCTAGAAATATGGCACATAGTCTTAGAGCTCAAACATGAATTCAGGCTCAGGTCAAGCCTAGTTCACACTACAGGATTATAAGCCCGATTTAAGCCCGATTTGCAAATCGTTGAGCTCGCCGACAGGTCAGGGTGTTATCGCGTGCAAATCGCGGGGGATTAGCGGACGATGGACGCTCGACAATCTGTTAGTATGAAAGAGCCAACAACGCATCAAAGACGCTCGCTGACGCCTCGCAGACGCGTCGCCGAGCCCAGAAAAATATCTAGCATGCTAGATATCCAGAGCTGTCGCCCGACTCAACCTCAGTGATGTCATGAGCTACAGCCAATCAGAGCAAGGCATGGGTTGCTCCAATCAGAGCAAGGCATGGGTCTTCGCGCGTGATGTTTCGCGTCATTTCCTGTTCGTTTTATCACGTGATTTTTTGTGACAAAACGTGGTTTGTAGACAAGATTGAAGTCAAGTCATGTAGTGTGATCCGGACAGTTCAGCCCGACGTTTTAAAATCATGTAGTGTGAACTAGGCTTCAGGAAGCAGACAGACTGGCTAAACCGACCGTCTGCTAGCTGTCTCACGTCACTGAGGTCAGATAAATCCCATCACATAGAGACTCTTTCACCTACAATAGATATCATCATATAGTCTGTTACCCGAATTAGGAAATACAAAAAACTCCCAAACCTATTTAAGGGTAAAAATGTAATTGATGTTCAACAAATAAAAAACAGATACAATACAAATGAACAAATGATAAAGCTCGGTTTGCTGAATATTTGATCCCTTACTTCAAAAGCACTTATTGTTAAGGATATGATCACAGATTATAACCTAGATGTGCTGTGTTTGACAGAAACCTGGCTAAAACCAGACGATTACATTACTTTAAATGAGTCCAACCCCCAAGATTATTGTTATAAACATGAGCCCCCTCTGAAAGACAAACAGGAAGGTGTTGCTGTAATTTATAGTAATATCTTCAGAATTACTTAGTAGTCTTGTTTCAAATATAATTCTTTTGAAGTGTTGGTGCTAAATGTAACACTATCTAATATAATATAAATGATCAATCACATTTGAGATTTGTGCTGGCTACTGTATACAGGCCACCATACAGATTTTATCAAAGATTTTGCTAATTTGAGTTAGTACTGGCTTCAGATAAAGTCCTAATTGTTGGTGATTTTAATATACATGTAGATAATTAAAAAAGATACATTAGGATTGGCATTTAAAGACATTCTGAACTCTATTGGAGTTAGACAACACGTGTCAGGACCTACTCATTGTCGTAATCATACTCTAGATCTAATATTATCACATGGAATCAATGTTGATGCCGTTGAAATTCTGCAGCAGAGCGATGACATCTCAGATCATTATCTAGTCTCGTGTAAACTTCATTTAGCCAAGGCTGCAAAGCTGACTCCGTGTTACAAATGTTAGACCGGTAACACTTTATTTTGATGGTCCTTTTTGAACGTGCAGTTGACTATACCTTTGTAAATATATCAACTAACTCTCATTAGACTATTAGTAGACTGTCTGCTCAATATCTGCTAACTCTTTTATTGTGATGGTCCCCCAACAGACATTCTACTGACTATAAGTAATTTTGCAACTACATGTCAACTTAATCTAACCCTAACCCTACCAGTCTACTAATACTCAACTACTAATACAGTTTCATCTCCTCAGCATCCCAGATAGCTTAGAAGAACTCGATAGAAGATTTATTTTCCATTACTTTAAACACAGTTGTTCCTTTGCGCTTAAAGAAGATTAAAAAAATAAACAAAACCCTAGGTATTTATTTGAAACGGTGGCTAAATTAACGAAAAATAAAGCTTCAATCCCAGACGTTTGCAAGCAGCACAGCAATAATGACTTTATGAACTTCTTTACTTACAATATTGATAATATCAGGGAGAAAATTATAACTATGCAACCGTCTACTACAATATTGCATCTGACAGTGCATTGTAGTCTCCCTGAGGAAAAATTCGATTCATTCATTGCTATAGGAGAGGAAGAATTTTCTAACCTTGTTAAATCATCTAAATCGACAACATGTATGTTAGACCCTATTTCGACTAAGCAATTGAAAGAGATGCTTCCAGAGGTCATAGATTCCCTTCTTAAAGGGGTCATATAATGCCATTTTTGTACAAGCTAATATGATTCTTTAGGGTCTAAATTAAAAGTTTGTAATATACTTTAATTAAAAATTCTCATTAGTATTGTAAGAAAACACTTATTTTACCTGGTCAAAAACAGCTCTGTTTTCAGCACGCCGTTTCAGTGCATATGACTTTAAATGATAATGAGCTTTGCTCACCCCGCCTCTCTGTTCTGCGCATACACCGTTTGTAACACAATAACACAATACCATAACGCGTTGTTCATTATAAACGTGGGATTATGAATTATATTGAGAACGTTGTTGTCACGGCACGAAAGAACAGTCGTGGATTCAATCGCGAGTGAATACAGGTGTTTATTAAACACAAGGTAGTGGCAAACAGTGCAGTGGACGACAGACAGGCGACCGAACCCAGGCTCGGTAACACAGGACTCCGTGGGCAGACGGCAAGGCAGGAACAGTAGAATCCTCTCAGAAACGGGCAGATACCACAGAACAGGAACAGTCTCTGGAAGCGGCTGCAGCTTCCCAGAACGAGGCGGAGACACCAGATCAGGCACGGACTGGATACGGCTGACGCTCCTCAGAACAGGGCAGAGTCCAAATAACAGGAGAAACAGACACTGGGCAAGGAGAAAGGACGGTGAGTAATCCGTGAACCTCA